CATGACACAGGTAACATTAAAACTTTGCCATGTAGAGAACATTGAGATCATATAACTATCTAGCAGCATGCATCTGATTTGGATTTAACCTGAATGACAGCGGCATCTTCTCTTGATTCCAACTTAAACATAAATTCTGGATCTTGCAACTTTTGCAAAGAAAATTGCATCACAATAAACAACTCCAGGAGCTGTGTCTGGTCAACATCTCTATTCACCCTCTGTTCAATCAGCATGACTAGAGAAGGAAGCCAAATCTTACTCGTAAACTGTTCACAAATTTGCACTGCAAATCTATATTCCCACTCCTTAGTATAAAATGTTAAATCATCTGCTGTCTCAGCATTAAGAAAACAACTGGTTTTCTTTGAAATTAGCGAACGGAAAAGTAGGATAAGCAATGACGATAAGCTTTTCTCCTCACCCAAAGTTCTGCAAAACAGCCATCATTATAAGATGCACATCCCAAACCAATGGCTAAAGTGTCAACAATAGCAGATCATGTGTAGAAATAGAAGAATACCTTAATAAATATAGCACAAATGACAGCCTTCTGTGTTCAACAATTTCAGGAAATATTTCCATGAAAATCTGTAAGGAAAAAAAGTACATATTAAAAGTTTGATCTGAAAAGATTCTTTACATGAAGCAACAGAAGAGACATGACATCCAAAAACCGTTTCCATGAAAACCAACCTTCAGTAGTTTCTCCACATCATCTGTCTTAGAAAGCCAATAAGGAACAATTGCAGATATAAGATCCTCAAAAACAATCCTTGAATGGTCATCAATCTACAGGCATATAAAAAGAGAAATGGTGACACCACAATTCGTACACAGAATTAATCATTAATAATCCTTACTAAATTGAACTATGAAGATTTTTTCTCTTTAAACACGGTACTAAAGACAAGTTGCAAGAGCTAAAAAGAAGCATTCTACTAGTTTTTAATAAAATCCTAAATGGTAACTAACAAGCAGTTATTAAGAAATAAGGCCTTAAAACAAGTGGCCGAGGTTCTCCAATATAAAGCAGATCCCAATAATTGAGGCAGGGATTGTAAGATTCTCTACCCTACTCAACAAATGATTGTTAACCAGTGATGCATGAAGGAAACTCAGGAATAACAGAAATGCCTATAGGATTTGGTACTATAAAACCAGTTGACATTAGGCAAAGTTGTCCATCAAATCATGTAATTAAGATAGTCAATGGGTGAATTTGTTACTATAAAACCAGTTCACATTAGGCAAAGTTGTCCAACAAACCATGTAATTAAGATAGTCAATGGGTGAATTTGAAACAAGTATGGACAAACAAAAAGAGAAAGATATAATAAGCCATTCTACCGAAATGACAACCATACCAACATGGTAGAAAAGGATATAATAAGCTATTCTACTCATAGAATGCCTAAGCTCAACAGAAAAACTCTATATTAACAAACCTGTGTGACGGCTGCATCTCCAATAACTACAAGAATATCGAGCATATACTCAAAAACTTCTTCTGGATAAACTCTAGTAATAGCAGAAAGAACAGAAAATATATGGTTGCGGGTGATAACTTCAGAGTTCTGGGCACACTCTATCAGTAGCTTAATGTTAATTTCACTTTTAATATTTTCCTGTCAACAACGATAAAACACTATATAAGGATATAACCAAAATAGCGAAAGGTAGTCAAACTAAGTTATCTAACATAATAAATTTCAAAGCTTCACAATTAGGATGCATACATTCAGTGAGGCAATGCTTTTAAGAGAAATAATTATATCCTCCAGGATTATCAATAGAGTCTGTTGAATATGATATATTGTGCTTTTGTTGGCTTCAGAAGAACTTGATTTTTGGCTTAACCTTTGCACAGGTATAAAGGATTCGTTCACGCATTCCTCTGAAAATACCTTGCTAAGAAGCTTAAATAAGGATCCTAACAGTAAATGCCTGCAACAATCAAATTGAAAATTAGGACAATTAAATGCATCAATCGCTAATCTCGACAGTACACATAATGTAACGTTCAGATTCAGAATTAAGCAAACACCTATTTGTTATGTCCTTCTTCAATAGCAAAACATCAAGAAGGGAACTAAGGATATAGACTGGATTATCTCTTCTCCATATGTTATTAGAAGGATCTTCAGCATCTTGGTGTCCAACCAATTTTTGTTTCTTCACCGCCTTTTCATTTGAAGAACTAACTATAAAACTCTTCAGTGCAAGTATGAGATCAAGCATGTAGCCAACAGTTGAGAAACTAATCTGCAATTCCAACATATCCCCAATTATTCTCAATTTCATTTCTTTTCATCCAATTGTGGAATACTAAATTGGAAGAACCCTCCCACTACATTAAAAAGTAACAGGGCAACAACAAATAACATTTAAAGTGAAAAACAACTAGCTGCTTCAAAAGGCCATGGCCATCGACAAGAATGGAACTTACGTATTGAAATTTTGCCTCAGGTCACAACCATATTAACTGTTTAATAATTTCCGAAAGATGCTATCTACTTGTTCATTTAACAAAGCTACAATTAATTAACAATATTAATGATGTTATTACTCAAGTTTTAAATAGAATGTCATAAAAACATTTGTATGAACTCAATCATATGCATAAATGCACAGGGGTTCTCAAACATGTAAACAAAAAGTGTTTCCAGAAAGACCAAGGCTAATAAATAGAAGATATATTGATTGTTAAGATTTCTCTTAAGAATAAGACCTTAAACTTAGCTCAACCCCATAAAACTGACTTATAAAGTGAGATTTGCACCCA